TACAACTTTAGTACGCGGAGCAATCTGTAGAGCTGGAAGCTGAGAACTGGCGACTTTCAAGTACAACTTTAGTACGCGGAGCAATCTGTAGAGCTGGAAGCTGAGAACTGGCGACTTTGTAGTACAACTTTTGTGCGCGGAGCAATCTGTGCAGCTAGAAGCTGAGAACTGGCGACTGTGTAGTACAACTGCAGTACGCGGAGCATCTGGTGAGCTGGAAGATGAGAACTGACTGGCGACTTTCTAGTACAACTTTACACGCGGAACAACCTGTGGAGCTGGAAGCTGAGAACTGGCCACTTTGTAGTACAAGTGTAGTACGCGGAGGAGTCAGCTCTCGCTGCTGTGAGTCATCTCTCGCGACTGAGTCAGCTCTCGCTATAGCCATCTCTCGCGGCTGAGTCATCTCTCGCTGCTGAGTCATCTCTCGCGGCGTGCAGGTTTGGCACAGTTCATACTGATAGTATTTGGTTGCATTTATGCAGGACAGGACATTCAACTGCTGGTCAATACACCACTCATCATACACCACTCAGCATACACCACTCATCATACACCACTCGTCATACACCCCTCTTGTCGTGGCAAAGATACAACCCAGTACGCTGTTGTGAGCTGCTGATCCTGCAGGGGGGCACACACCTTACACACGTGGAATCCCGTGGGTCAAAAGTCCGGAGCGCGTGCGTTTGACTGGAGGACGCGCATGTTGGAGAGAACGTGGAACTCCTATAGGTCAATTTGTTCTTATAGGAAACTTCCGCCGCTGGCTTGCCCGGGAACTACTTGTATCAGTATGTATCAGTCATATTCCCATCATATCCGCCGTTGGTCCACTGTGGCCTATCAGGCTTCCAACGCTTGGGCTGCTTTGGGTCCGCATCACATTTCTCAAGGCGGGCAGCCTCATGTAACTCCTTCTCAGTGAGCTGTTTGAAGTAGTCAACATTTTCGACCTTGGAGAGGAAGGAGTCATTCAATGGCCCATCGGTGCTAAGATCTAGACAAGCAGTACGATCGTGGTCGCTGTTTTTGCTAAGGCACGTTGTCCATCAATAAAGCCTTGATGGCACTTCTCCGTAACACACTGCCTCCTGGCCCCAGCAAGCTTTCCAAAGATTTCCTGCCCAAAGCCAAGCAAGTCCTGATGCAAAACAACAACAGGTTCCCCACTACTGCAATGTAAGCGTGACAACGAACCTAGTCATTTGTGGGACCACATTTGTTGGCTGAGGTCAGAAAGAATGTTTGCTTCTTGGAACGGTTGAACAGCTAAGGCTATGGCACTTTGTCAACCGCACTGGCACCACTGCAGTTTAGGCTAGAGTACATCCTTGGACCACAGAACAGCTCCCTTACGTAGGCATGCTCTTGCACGTGCAGTCTGCAGCATGAATCTCAAGCGGCCTGGTCAAGCATTTGCACAGAAGTTGCCGCCAAGCAGCACCCCCGAGCTGCCTAGCAATGCACCGGGCTTCTTGATCTCAGAGTTCCCGAACCTTGAGAGGGCAATGGCTGGCAGTAGCAGCGGGTTCCCTTATCATGTGTTTATCCCCGCAATCGGCGCAGCATCGGCGGGGGATATGTTTATGCTATATTGCTTTGTACAACACAGGTGAAATTGGGACCAGAGAGCTTCACCAAGAAACTGATCGACAATTTTCACAGTCCCCTCGATGACAATAAACATCCACTCGCCAACTTCCCCTTCTCTCAGGATCACTTCACCCGCAGCGAAGTTCTGGACAGAGCATGAGGTCGATAGGATGCTCTTCTCCTCCTTGGACATGTATTTAAAGGTTGAGTCGGACTCAAAGAAGTCCAGCCTTAGCAAGGAAGAAGCAGCAAAATGAGACCAAAAAAAGGTGTGCATAAATCATTGTCACAAACAGTCTGCTCAGGCAAAGGGCGCCCGCTTCATGTGCTTGGAGCTCAACTGTTCCATGCAAACCTGGAAGTAGTCAGCTTTCAAAACAAGGCTTCTGTCTGGCCACACCCCGTGGAAAGCATGTTCAACCCGTGGGGGTCTGGGGCTCAGTCCAACAACACTACTAGCCTCTTGTTACTACTAGTAAGGCACCTGTTACTAGTAGCGTGGCACCTGTTACTACTAGCTCTTGGTCTATGCTATACATATACTGGCCATCAAACCTTGGATTCAAGTCTCCAGGCTGCAGCTGAGGTTCTCTGAATTGATCTGCGTGCATCTTCCAAAGCACCCCTTTCTCTTTACAGGTGACCGTGGCTGTTCTTGGCCTTGGAGCTAGTCACCAAGGAGATGGGGAAGGCGACGGAATCGGATTCCACATCTTGCGGAAATCTCGGTGCGGCAAAGAATCCGCAAAGGTTTCAGGAAGGAAAATGCACCGGCGGGGAGGAAAGACAACAACAGTTGTGTTTGTTCAGTCCAAACCTGGCTACAAAGAAGCGAACTGTGATGTGCAAACCCCAGCTCAGCCCTGCCAGGTCGATTCTGCAAATGCTTGGCTTAAGCTCGAGTGGCACGCTGTAGAGCATAGCTAATTCACCAAAGCTATGCTTGGAGCGCAGTTGTCTGACAGCTTTGTCATCCACACAGACTTCAAAGCTACCACTCTGGATGATGTACCAGCCTCAAAAATCAAGCAGCTCAAGATCCAAGGTTCTTCTGGCAGGGGGCCAGGAACAGAACTTCACCAGGCCCTTCGAAGACTCTGAGCATCGCACAATCCCCAACCTCATGTTGAGCAAAGATTAGCTCATCTGGGCCAGCTTTCTGCATCTCGAAGTGGTCGACCACCATCTCCTGCTCATCCTGGGCTACTACTCGCTTCAATGTTTCTGCCAGTTCAACACCTGTGCCAGAGACTGGTCATTTTGCCGTTCACTTCTTCCCATGGCGCTTGCATGGCACCAGGTCTCTCCATCTCTGACAATTGAAAAGCAGAAATCCAATATTAAACTGCAGCCATGGGTGCATCATCTAAATTCCCAAAGACGAAATGCTTTTGCAGCACCTTCAGGATAAAGCGCCGGTTTTCAGCGCTGACCTGGCTGCTGTTCACACCCCCCTGACAGACCTGCTCCCAAGGCCCTGGTACGTAGGATGATGCTTGGGTAAAACCAACGTAAGTCCAATAATCTGAGGGCTTCTGTCCCAGTCATGGGGGTCGCATCTTTTTTCTGCAACAGCTGGGGCTTCATTGGGCTTCATTCCTTAAGTCCTCGATGCCAATTCCTCATCAGCTGATTCGGGCCAGTTTCAGCGGCCCCGTTAGCATTTGTTTACGGTTCGGTGTGCAAAGTGCTTCTCGCCTAGAGGTGTTCGGAAATTCGGAACACTCTGAAATCTCTATGTATATAAACATATATAAACTATTGAATTGTCGAGCCAAGCCACAGTGCCCTTAACTGATTTTGGCGCGGCAGGGTCCTACCCAGAGTAGGACGTAGGATTGAAAAGGAAAAGTGCGATTTGAGTGGCGGAAATAAACTCTTTCTGAATGGATGAAACGGAGACTTCACGTGTTCTGTGTGTGACAACATGCCAAACATGGCTGGGCAACATGATGGGGAAAAGGACATCTATATATATATAATCATTTATATACATATTGACACAGATTCTAGTGCTTAGTTAGGGCAAAACAGCAATGGCGGTAATCGGGTAATGTGTTCCCTTGCGTGTTGTTTGAACCCCTCAAAAAAGTCCTTCCCACCGCGAATTACTCTTGGCAACTTCTTGTCTTTTCTTAGACCTGTCATGCGAGTCATGTAGGAGATGGAGGTGCAGCGCTTCAATGTGCCTTTAAATTGACCGTGAACATTAACGCATCTCTTTGCAACTCAAGCATCACGCCTTGGCCAGATGGCGCACCTGGCTCACTCCTTGCACTGCATTGGGTGTACGTGGAAGAGAAGCTGGATGAATTTCCCACAACTGCGACGCTTAGTGTAGCTGTCTACCGTCTACTACTGAGTACTGTTTTCTCAGGTTCTCTGTCGCCTCTCTTTGTCCGTTTCTACTGACTGAGGTCCCAGCTCATTTTCACTGTTTCGACGAGGCGACACCTTTGGTCCACGTGTCTTTGAACACGGTGAAGAACTGTGTTTCCAGGTCAAGTCGGGTTATGTGGGATGAAGGCTCCCTTGCTTTGCCTTGCTCCAAAATCTCCCCAACTAACTAGGCGTGGGACATCAGCTGGCACCTCAGCTCTCAGCTATATCACACGAGCAGCCCAGAGACCGTCTCACACTACCAATTTGATTTTCAGTGCTGCCAAGACCGGCACAACGTCGGAATATTCCTGAGACAAAGGATGCTGGTCATTGGTCACACTGAATCAAACCAAGTGCACTTCTGGGCACATGTGCAACATGTTGCAAATAGATCAAACCATGCAATCAGAAAAGAAGCAAATGAAACCCAAACGTTGCCAGAGCCTTGTCGTTTGGATGAACCTTCTTTCCACCCAAAGAGCAGCCCATGCCTGCTGCCCAGCCGGCTGGCAGAGGTCTTTGATGACCCGATCAAACAATAACAGTACCGGCCTTTTTCCACAAGGCAGCCGGGTGCGGCTAGCTGCTTTGTCAGCCACCCCACTCACCTTGTCCAGCCAAAGGCACAGAAGATTCTTATAGGCAATCTATATTATATGAAGATTCTAAAGGTCATCCATCCATCATCATCATCATGATCATCCGGCTGATCTGATCCAAACAATGAAAGGTGGTGAATGATGTTGTCCTCTTGTGCGTGCGCAAATGCCCAGCACCAACACGGCACCATGGAATTGGAGGCATTCCCATTCCAGCACTGGCCCTGGAATTGAAAACTGCGATGCAAGACCATGAAGAAAGGGCCTGCGGCGAAGCTGGGCGGCAACAGCCAAAACTTGTAGGCGATGGGCGATGGCCAAAAAAAACACGTGTTTTCTTCTTTGGGCCAAAAAGGATACTGGCATTCCAAGCGCGGTTCGCGCTTGTTAGCAAATACCCTGTAGCTGCACAACTAAATTGCAACCTCAAATTGCTGCCTGGGTTCCTGCAAGGCTATGCAAGGCTTTTCAACGGAGCCCTTTGCCGATGTCTGTAAAGTTTATACATTTAAAACCATCATGAGCCCTTTCCTTTGCCGAGCTCTGAGAACACATCCTATTTTACAGGATGTCGTAAACTCTAATGAAACAGAAACAAGCTGAAAGGCAGTCACATGTGGACGCATGCTGCGCAAGCCATTCAAAGTCTTGGCTCGTGCTAAAGAGTGCCTTCGACCACATCTACCACAGGAGCATTGAACGTTGGCGTTGGCATTCTGCTTCTTGACCTCCCAGGTTTCCAAAAAGCAAGTCAGTTGCCTACGCACGCAAGCCAACAATGGAGCTTGCACAACCCTGACAGAAAGCACTGGAGGACCAGTTGACAACATGGTCATGAGGCTAGTGGCCGTTAGGGAAGGTCAGGCTGTCAACTCAAAGCAGAACACCAATGTAGCTGCCCACCCTTGATCCAAGTGTTGGTTTAAATTTTTAAAAGGCATCGAAAAATATAAAACATAAAATCAACAACGACCGAAAAAGTGAGACTCCAAATACAAACAAATTGAAACTCAAAAACAACAAAACAAAGGAACACTCAAGCTGGGATCTGGGCTCCTGCAACGACAGTGGGTATTTGGGTGCTTGGCCAGTGGAGGCTCTGAAATTTGTTATATGTTTTCTGAGTCTGAGCCGGTGGAGGCTATGAAGTTATTTCTTTGAGTCTGGAGTTGTTGTTTGTGCTTTTGCAGGGAAAATATCAAACCTTTACAAAATCAGAGTTAGAAAAAATCCAGACTCAAAGAATAAGACATCGGAGCCTCCACCGGCCAAGACTGAAACCACATAACATAACCTATTTCAGAGCCTTCCACTGGCCAACCCAAGTAACCCCTGTCGTCAATTAGCTGTCTGGTCCTTAGAACTCACAGTTGTAGACTGTCAAGGGGCGACCAACACTGCAGATCCAAGGGCTGGATGAAGGGCGCACGCATATGATATGACTTACTCAGGAAGCTCTTGCCACTTTTCACGACTAAACAAAGGTGGAAACAAGCTGAAGAGGCCCATGCCAAATGATGTCTCTCATGCCCCACGGCTGGCCTCCGCACGCATTTGTGATCATCATCTTTGGTTGACCACCACGCGATATTGAGGCCTTTAGTCCACGGGGTGAGGGAAAAACAACATCAATACGCATCTGCCAAGCTGCTTTGAATCTTCATTTCGTGGCTTGTGGCACTCATCAAGTCATATCACGGCATGCGTATGCGCGTGCATCATCCTTGTTTATAACTTATAACTAACCCTATATATATATACACACACGCACATCCCCCGACAAAAGTCTGTTTGTGCAAAACGAACATGTCCCCCGTGGCTGAGTGGGGGGGGCGCGTAAGGGAATACCAGGTTGAGTTTGTGTGACAGCTGCAGCTGTTTGTAAGAAGGTCCGTTGGTTCCAGCAGTAGTCACTAGTCCTTGTGGTGCACAACGCAACATGTATGGCCCACAGGTCATGGTCCATGTCTGGGAAGAGACTGAATCCAAGAGTTATTTGTTATTAACTCCTCTGTTGATTCTTCACCTTGGACCTCCATTCAATTTGTGACCTGAGAATATATAAAACTTACTACTGGTAACTCAAGAGGTAATTCAATCAGCTTGCCACCTGCAAGACACAAAGAATCACCTCTGGTTGCAATTCTCCTTTTGTTTAATGTTGGTTTTCTTTGTGACAAATGATGGCACAAGGAAAGAATCAACTCCTGATTTTATTCTTATTCAAACTTTAACTCCATGGGTTTGTTGCGTGTGGTTTGGTTTGCTGCTTCTTGTGTTTTGCTTTGCAAGGGGGTGGGTGACACATGATGTGGGGGCGATGGGAAGAGTTATATAACTCTTGATTTAATGCTTATTCAATCTGCGGTTTTCTTCTTCGTACGAGTATAGTTTGGTTCCTTGGTTCCCTGCTTCTTGTGTTTTGCTGTGCAGGTGGGCACAGGTGAAGTAGGCTAACAAAAGCATTACTGTAGCTGCTTAGCTCACCACCAGCGCAAACCTCACTACTTGATTCCTTCTAGTAATTCAATTCATGTCAAAGAAAAATGTGAACTACTGGGCCCAAACTGTAGAGAGATCCAAACGAAAGTTTAGGGAAGTTAGGCATCGCTGTGGAGGGCCGTTTTGTGTTTTTGCACTGCACTAAGACAGACTTAGATGGCAGGACAGGAGCAAAACGACACAAGAGCAGACAAGGGCGACCAAACCAGCCACCGTACCACCACTTCATCACTTCGCACTTTCCGCTGTCGCCAGCACACGGGCGGCAGCTAGTAGCGTCCTTGCTCCTAGTAGCGATGCCCCTTTGTTCCTAGTACCGCTCTTGTTCCTAGTAGTAAGGCCAGGAGCCCCTAGTAGCGTCCTTGCCCTTAAACAAGATTTTGGTGAACAACTTGCTTGTCGATGTACCCAACCGTACCCAATAGTATGGCCACTCATCCCATGAGCTAGGCAGCGAGAGGTCCACCTTTCCCTCCCTCTTCGCTCGCTTTGTTCCAACGATCGCTTCACGCGAAAACTCATATCTGCATATTCAATCATATATATAAATACTGTACACAAACTCCGCCATATACAGATGCATATGCGTACATAATATGATATAACATTACAAATTTGACAAAGTAAAAAGGAATCCATCAACTCAGGAATCCATTGATCGAAGCCTTGAAGCAGTTGCAGTTGATACCCTACTGGTTGTTGAAGAAAAGCTTGCCAGGAGAGGATCTCTCATTTGTGGGACACCTTGGTCCACATGCATAGCTCATGCTGGCCTTATCAAGTACCCATTCTATGTTGATATAGTTCTGATAAAGTTTTGCCAAGACGCGGGTTAGCGGGAAGCTTCCTGTCTGGACAACTGCAGTCGTAGCTGCAGTGGGCTGTACGTGCCCCGCATGCCCTACCCGAGGTACATGCAAAGAGCTCTGAAGTTGACCTCCATGAGACTGTCCTACTGCCTGTGTTGACTGCCTTGCACGGGAATGAGACCACAACGAGTTTGTATCAACCCCACATGAATTTACATATACATATATATATATATACAAATATATAATATATATATATATGCACTGAACGCTGGCCTGTAACTGGAGCTGGCTGCACTTTGTGGTCGCGCAAAGCTTGGTGATTGAGCTGAGCTTGGAGAGGCAATGCTCGAAGGTCTTGGCAGTGGCAGGCGGCGTGTGGTGGTCCTGCAAGCACTGCGAACACTGGTGCAATGATATGCAATGATGGTGTCTTCCAGGAATGCAATGCCTTCTCTTGTCTTCCTCTCGTTTCTCAGTCTCTGCCAGCTCTTGTCTCTTTTCATTGCCTCTTGTTTTTGAACAATTCGGACAATGCAAACCAGCACGGTCCATTGTCGTCTGGCAGCCGCAGCAGCAATGTCATGAAGCTGCCGAGCCTGAGTTTGAGGCTGTGGCGTTGCAAAGGCAAGGACCAAAACAAAATGGCAAACGAAGCAACATGCAACGGAAAGGACGCTGTCTCAGTGGTGCTTCAAGGTGTGGCACAAGAGTCAACATTAAAAAACCTTAAAATGGAGCTACAGCGGCTACAGCAGTACCCTTCCTTCCCTCTGAAGTTGATTTGGAAAAATATTCTTGTAGCTTAAAGTCCCAGCCACTGAAATCGGACCCGGCTTGGCTGAGGCTGAGCTTTCTGGCTGCTCTGGGCGGCGCTTCGTTCGGGTAGGGGATGCCGCTGCCGATGGAAACGCTGAGACATCTGCTGACGGTGGCACGGACTCGGTCACTGATGGCGCCAAAGACGGAGCCATCGAGACAGGTAGCTTTGGCGCGGGCAACGAAGGCGAAGACATCTGGAGAAGGCAGAAGAAGAATGACAAAAAAGAATCCAATGATTTGCTTTCGGACAATCAATCATGCAAAGCACCAATGGCCAGAATGCAATTTGCACGAACATTGCCAATATCATATTACTTATCATTTCTTTTGTCTATGCATATCTTATATATATAACTATATATATAGGGTCTTGCTATCCAGCCTGGCCCAGGAAGTTCAGTGTGTATTGCAACGTCCATTTTCGTCTCCGCACAACATCAAGCATGATGCGAGGTGCCGCTCGCCAATCTCGGCTGGACCAACCAGTGGCGTACTGCCAGCCTTCAGCGTCCTGAGCGCTCTTTGTGAAAGCGGACAGCTCGGAAAATGCAAACATTGTTGGGTGCAGCTTCGTGCGCCAATCAAGTACCTGACTACGCATGAACAATATGAACAGCTATACTCTGCACCCATTGCAGTGAACAATCATGAAAAATACTACTCAAGTCTTGGCGTCGGTATCTGAATTAATCTCGCGCTGCCACGTTCCGTTGGGTTTCCAGAAACGAAGCTGTCTGATGGGTGGCCCTTTCTTTTT